AAATTAATACAATATTACTATAATATTTTAAAAGATAAAATAATTTTAAAAGTATTATTATGAAAGTATTTTTATTACTGAAATATAAAAATGGTAGAGATTAATTTTTCACTAATTACTTTACTTTTCTAGGTTTTAGTAATACTGTATATACATGAAATAAAATTTCTATTAAAGTACATTATTACAATTTATTTTAGTATTACATATTACAAAAATTAAAATTCATATGAAATATATAATATGAAAGTAAAAATATAATATTGTAACCTTAAATGTAATTCTAATAGGACTTATTAGAATAAAGTAAATTTTATTTATGATTGAAACGAGCACTACAAATTATATATTAGTCTATGATATAATCAGTAAATATTTAAATTGATATATGTATTGCTTATATTAAATGTAACTTCATTAAAAATCGATTTATATCTATTTAAATTGTTCATTCAAGTGAGCTGCAGCGCATCGAGAACTCAAGCAGCTCGCCGGTCATCTCGCATCTGGCGGAGACGATTCAGGGTGTGACCACAATACGTGCATACAATCAGCAGGCACGTTTCACCGAGATCCTGTTCAAGCGACTCGAGGCGAACACGATTGCGTTTACCATATTGAATACGAGCAACCGCTGGCTGGGCATATCATTGGTGAGTCCTTTGCGTGTCCCTTGACCCATGGCCCTGGCTCAGAGACCCACTGTCCCACTGTCCCACACAGGCCTGGTCAATGTGCACATTTCATTTCTGTAAAATATCCTTGTGTGTGCATTTCAATTGAATTGGCATTTCAGTTTAGAGAGACGCGTGCCGATGCAAATACCAGATACTATTGCTCGCTGTTTGCTAGCCCAGGTGACCCTGGCCCTGCCCACTCCTCGGGGCCGGCCTTCCGTCGACGACTCTCGCATTGTCAGCAAAGGCTGTCCGGCCCGCACTGTCCGGCATACCTCAGAGCCCGTTTGCTCGGGCTATAGTTTACAGTTGTTCAAGTGTCTGTTATGGATCTCAAGTATCCATTGACTCCACTCAAATTGTTGCACATTGTGTTGACGCGTGCAATTGTGGCAACTGGAATTATGTATGCCTGGGCCAAGGGGTGCTTTGCTTTATTGCTTGTATGCACAGTGCGGTCAGCTAATATTCACATAGACACACATCCCGATACATGCCAGTATTGTGTCGATGGTATTGCCGTTATGGGACGTCTTGGGCCCCGCAACCACCCCGCAGGCCCAACATTTCACTTGCATTATTCAGCTGCAAACTGGCAAAGTGAGTGGGCCCCGATTAAACAATTCAATTTCTGGCTTTGGGTTATTTTCGGCCATATGCAATGAGCTCTTGCGGCGCCCAGTTGACATTAACCATCGATATGCGAGCAACTCTGTTTGTTTTCACACGCTCGATTGAATATGCATGGAGTTTGCATTCAAATAAGTCAAATATGTTCTCTTTGCCAATTTTGACTTGAGCATTTAAATTTGCTAATATTTGGCATAGTGATTCCATTCTCATGCGACTCGAAAATAGTTGTGGTTTATGTGTATATCGCTCTCTCTCTCTATCTCTGTGGTATTCTCTCTGTACCTCTCTGTCTCTATTCTCTCTTTTAGCTGCTTCTCTATTCACAATTTATGAATTATCTTTATTTAAAAACATTGTGGAATGTGCTTTTATTATTATGTACGTCAACAAGGATTCATAAGCAAATGCAGAGATATAGTACTTCTCCTAGAATATGTGACTATATATATGTATATTAAAGTATTCCCTAGTTCATGGAATTTATAATTATTTATTTGATCAACTCGAGTTCTTCAACAAATACTGAATTTAGTGCAGCTTTCCCATTCTTATTGTAAATTCCCTAAAGAATAAAGAATAAAGAACAAAGAAACACTGTAAAAAAAAAGGAATATACTCCATTTGCCATAGTTGAACAAGTTTAATGATAATTATCACTAATATTGATCTAATAATAATGACCTCGACGTATCTAATAGAGTCTGCATTTTATATTGAGATTGGCTATTGATTGTATAGGATTTCAATGATTTTAGATTTTTAATTTTCAAAAATAATATAAATAAATCAATCAGAAAATCTTCTTCTTTTAATTTAAAGAAATCAATCAATAATAAAATATTTCCATACAGCTGCTTTAAAATACTCAAAAGAATATATATTTGTTGTAGAACTATTTACTTATATGTACTTCTACTACATACATATATACAGCTAAAAGCTACGTTTATAGATATTTCTTATTTGACAAGTATTTCTTCTGCTCTAATGATCTAAGATTTCTGTAATCTTTCAACTCACTTGAAATGCAACCAAAGCAAATCAACTCAATTTGAAATTCAAACACTTGTTAGCCGCATGCGTTACATTATTTTCTAATTGCTGTGCAAATCGATCCAAAAACAAATAAAAACTGAACTGAACTGAACTATCAAGGGGGTTAAGTCTAAAACAGCTATTACGGTTCAGGCAGCAAATGCAACAGCTTTGAAGTTACGTTCGAGAACTACTCACATGCACGCGCCCACATACATATATAGAAAGAGAAAGAGAAAGAGAGAGAGAGAGAGAGCGAGAGCGATAGAGTGTGGGCGAGTTAGTGAGGGAGCCAGATTCAATCGACCCAACTGCCGCCTCTGCCCACTAAAGCTGGTTGCAAAAACTTTTCAATTGTGGTTTGGCAGCTTCCCCGTAAAACTTTCATTAAGATGAAAGAGAGCAAAAAGTTTGCCCAGTGCCAGGCGGGCAAACGAGCTGACGGATCCGTTTAGATAGATATATATAAAAAAAATTGCAACTATGAACGCTGCAGTCGGGCGTAARGAGTCACTTAATACTCGATCAACAATCAGGAAAATTTGTAACAAGTATTGATTGCAAATGGAATTGAAGTGAGTCTTCAATCAATAAATAAATGAAACTGAGATTGTTAGTAGAGAAATTGATTGCAGTAGAATTTTGGCGAATTTTTAATAGAATTATAATGTATAATATATTATTATTATATGCGGTAGAATCCGGTTATAGCGACACTGAAAGAACCGGCGTAATACCCGGAAAACGCTATAATCGAGGGACCGTACCGATTATAACACTTATAGCAAAAAATTAAAAAATAAGAAATATGTTTTGGAATATTAAAAAAAAAAAAA